GGGTAGTGATTATGACTGAACAACGAGGGGCTTCTGGAAAAGAAATTGCAGGTTAGATTCCATTGCTGCTAGATCTAATCCTCAATCACAGCAAATGATTTCAGTGGCGTGCACCGCTGATTCAACAACTTATATTTATCGGCAATCACAAAGGGAGAGGGAGGCTAAGATTAGGCAGCGGAATTGGAAGTGCACCAAACAGAATCTGAGATTGCTGCATCACAGAATTGGAAATGGTACAGAGATGCCATGAGGGACTTCAAACCTGCTTCACAGCACATAAACATAGTGCCAAAGACAGAGACTCATAGGGCTGCAGAGAAAAGAGAAAGATTAATTATTTCCATAATTGTATGTTTTTTTTCTTTTGGATCTAATAACTAAGTAATCCTAATCTAGAATTGACTAACCTTAACGGAAGCAGTGGTTCTAAACTAATGCTTGCTGCTCAAATCAAAGTAACCTTACAGCCATGCCATGTGGTTTTTCCACTGTTTTCTCTGAGGTGATATCCAAAGAACTGAGCTTGGAGCATTTGCACAAAACACTAACCACTGGCAGTTGTCATGATCTTTAAGGTGCCTTTCAATGCTGTCTCCTGTGTTTTTATCAAACATGCATATTTTTCCCATGTTCAGATGGATGACATAGCGAGACATCATGGAAATTGCTCTCCACATAAGAGAGAGTCAGTGTTGCTTTTCTTTATTCATCTCACTCAAAAGAGACAAAGTTTCAAAGCCTGCTTATCTGATTCCCGGCTGATCTTGTGGAAAAACACTGCTTCTGTTCTAAATTATGCTACACATGCAGCTGTGCCAAACAATCTACAAGGATGTAATTTTTTTTTATGGTAGAGTAACAAACACAGCTACTAAGGTGACAATCTTTTTTCACATTTTTTTCTTGAAATGAAGGATCACACAGATGTCTATGGGCTGACAATTAACCTTAAGTTTGTGAAAGTCCTTCTCATTTCCAGTACATCATTTCAAAGCTGAAAGGTCATAAATTGGAAACATTTTTTCTCAATTTCCTAAAAATGTACAGTCTGCTACATAAAAAAGGCAGGAAACTTTTTGCAAAGAGGATGTTTCTGACAAAAACAGGCAGGGAAGCATACATGTTGTGTCAGCTTTCTAACTGACAGTGACAGATTCTGCCATGACTGCGCGCACCAACCCCTCCTCTAAACCACTTATTTGTGATAATGGACCAGACTACACTCAGGCCGACTAATCAATCTCTGTCCAATCCCTCCCTAAGCTATGACCTTTGCCTCACCTGTCCCTCCTTCCTTCGAGAGAGTCCAGCCTCTGCCATCAAACCCAACAGGTATGGCGGGAAACGTGGTCCCATACACATAAGCATCCCAAAAACTAACAGCTAGCCATGAGACGACGTTCAAAGCTTTGCTCTTTATCCTTCCAATCAATAAAACATTAAAGACAACCACAAACACTGGGACACAATAATAAGAAAGGGGGAAACATGCCAAGAGCCCATCAACACGAGTAGCCTACGGAGTCCCTGCTTGGTGTGCCTGTCCTCCCTGTGGCTGAATGTCCAACGACATCATTCCCTCTGCGCATCAATGTCTGCACACATCTACACTTTTGTCCCACAGACTGGATTCAAACTGTTCTCAAACACTCTATTTTTCTCTAATCAGGCCCTTTTGACAGGAAAACGGGGGCTTTTCCCCTAATGTGTTAGTTACAGCAGTCAGTCTGTTTTTTCTCTAGCAGACCCTATAGCCAGCAATGTGAACAGACCTTTCCTTTTTTTCGACATGCAGTGGTTTTTGACACATAATTATGTCCCTCTCAACGATGATCAACCGGGCGAAATACCAGAATATATATTTCAGAGCCTGTTTAGGGAAGATGTTTACAATGTTGTTACAGGTTTACATTCGACCGTACCACAGTTGTAATTATTACTGATAGTCTGTATGTAGGGGGTAGGATAATTATGAAAAAGTGTTTTCAATGTGATTTTGATCTTGAAATCACACCATGATGTTTACATTTAGAGATATAATCCAACAGAAATAGGAGAAATACAGTGTTCAACAACACACACATCCTCAAAGGTAACAGTGTTTTCTTTAAACACAACAAATTGGTTGCATATAGAGGAGTGTTAGTATTTAATTACAGCTTTTCCCCTACAGGCAAACATATGTAACCATCTCCACTGATGTTTTTGAAATTAGGTTTATAAAGTATGCATTCATAGCTTAAGCATAAATCATAAAGCATGATAAATCTCTAACATATGTGAGGAGAACGAGAAGCTACAAACTAGCCTGGCTGATTGGAACGCAACAAGAAAGTGGAAAATCAATCAGTCATAGATTTGCTCATTGCAAATTCAGTTAAGGGTGTTCCTACAGCATATAATGTAGTGGATAATATATCTTTTTCTAGAACTGAGCACTGCTGGATGTTATGTTTGTCTGTAAATATGCATTTGTGCACCAGCGAGTCATTCTGTGTGTGGGTGCACTTTGTTATAAGGACTTCACGCAACTTTAATGAGGGGGACAGTGTGGTCACCTCTGTGTGTAAGCCTGTGATAGCATGTGAGGGTCAAGGGATTACAAACATGTCTTGTCAAATTAGGCGTCTGTGGCTGAGTGCTGTGAAAGAGTTTGGGACTCAGCTGTCTAAGTGGTACCTGTGTCTGTCTTGTTGATGAGCTACAGAAAAACACGATCATATCACTGCATTTCTCCCTGGGGAGTTTAGCGATACCTTCCTCTACTGTGTATACAGTTTTATGGACAACTGCAACGATTTCTGACCGTGTTAAGTCTGTGATTGGATGTACCGATTAATTTAATCTTCAAATCTAAGAAAACAGAACCAGCAGTTCCAGATTAAATGCCATGAATTACAGCATTCTTACTGAGTGGATCTTGTCATGAGTGGAACCTGATTTGGGGGGGGGGGGGTAGCATGGTGATGGAAATATTATTGTTTGGATTAGTCTTGCCACTTCAGGAACTAGAAGATAAAGATGAGGCCATCCTCTTCAGAGCTGAAGTTCCCCTTAAAAAGATTTGAACATTTAAACAGCACAGTGTTTATCCAAAAATTTGGCAAATGTAGTAAGGAATGATTGAAAAAGAGGAGACAAAGGGGAATATCTTGTTCAGAACCAAAGCCTAAATGCAATTGGAAAATTCGAGGAGAAATACAACTGAGGGAATTTTGCAAAACCAGCTGAGAAATTTAACTTTTTCCACGCAGAAAATTAATAGCTTATAATTCCTTTTATTCTATTCTAGTTTCATGTGTTAAATCAAATACGGACTTATATGAAAAAGAAAATAAAAGTATTCATTTTCACGTGGTAAATCAAGAGTAACAGGCTGTTTCTCACAGGCTTCCTGCATTAACCAGTGAAGCATAAGGAGAAACCTTATTGAGGGGATCTTACTAAGCTAAAGATCTATATTACTTCATAAGCAATTTAGCCAGTGCTTTTTTGTCTTGTTGGGGGTTGTCTTGCAGGAGAAATGAGTGCTGATGACAATGCCTTTTAAAAATATGGAATCAATGATCTTTTCAGTCACAGAACAGTCTCTTGACCCAATGGCGCAATGCCTTAATTGCATCTACCACAGCCACAGTACTTGCTTTTAGCATCAATAAATATACATACATTCAACATTTCAAACATATCCATGCCGACCACATAGCAGCTACAGTGGAAGATGTCACTAACAAATGAAATTTCAAGTGACATGTTTTAGTTTCCAGCACTTTTTAGATATTCAGCTTGTGTACAGCTTATTTTGAAAGCTTGCATGGAAGTCTGTAGGGAGAAAAAAAATGACATTTTCAAGTTTACATTGTAATTTTAATAAATTGCCCATGGACTTTAATACTGTTACAAAATTGACAATTCTGAAGTCCGAATGTACCAAGTGCTACATAACGCATCACACAAGCTGTGTTTAATGGAAGTCATAGTTTTGTGTAAAAGAAAAAAAGGAAAAAAAGGCAATTTAATTTTGATTGTTTCAATGATAACTCTAGCCTTGTACCTGGCTGTTCCACTTATTGTATCATTCACAGATTAACAGCTGCACACTGTTCGGAAGAAAATAAAACATACAACATACATTAGCGGCATGAGCTTGGAAGACAAAGTGAGCTTGTTAGGATATGGTTGAGGACTCTGCAGAAAGGCAGCCCATCATATACTGTTATGTTCAATATTGAAATGGAGGGTAGCTCGCTAAACCCCTCTTCCCCTGCTTCAAAAAACAGTATTAATACATTAAAGTGGTATAAAATAACGATCAACGGGCCACAGAGAGGTGAATTTGTATTCCACAGGAAAAGTCTTTTTGGTTTCCTAAAATCTTGTCTCCATCTCTCAAGGTTTGAAAGGTTTATACAGAGAATAGATAAGTACAATCTAATAGATATGTTTAAGGATCAACAATATGTGATCCAAAATTAGATGGTACAAGAGTCAGCCTTGAAGCATATTCTTTAAGCTAAAAATTTATAGAATTATTCTGAAATACACACACACTCACACACACTCACACATACACACAAATGTTTACATGCAGGTATTAGTGCATAGGTTCCTGCAAAAAAAGAGTATTATCGTATTGTCCATTGATTAACTTCCCAAACATCCTCGGAAGAATTTGGCATAGTCATAGGATAAAAAAGAATGACTGTCCTTCAGATTTAAATCTTTTTCACACCCTCCTAGTCCCTTGATAAACTTATCATTTAAATATATCTCTATCTATATACAATTTGTGTGATAAATAAATAACAGGGACAATGTCTTAAACAAGTCAAGATATTCTAGAACTCTTAGTTATCTGGTAATGTGTTTTCTGAATCAAAGTTGATTAAAAACAGTGGCAGGTATAACACTGAAATCTGAAGAAAGGAAAGAATGTGACACAAAGAGATAGTTTGCGTGTTTCATTTCAGGGGAGCACAGGAGGGTGTGAGCAATTCTCACAAATTGGAAGGAAGTTTTGAACGAACAATTGGAGGGTCTAGATCTGAAGAGTGAGCAGGAGAGCCCCTCTGTAGAGGAAATGCAGATGAAGCCCCGGGGGACTGAGTCTGGGAACGGTGTCCAGGAGACACCTGCACGGGAGGAGTCATGTGCCCCGGCACTGAGCTACAGGGCTTGGGCAAAAAAGTTGGAGAGGAAAATGGCGAGGGGCAATATTCTATGGAGGAACACTGAGTTTGGTGGCCTATGGACTGTGCCATCTCCTGGGGCAGATATGGTTGTGAGCCTGATAACAGCTTTAGGTCCTCAGAAAAGCGTCCCAGGGGAGAATCGCTCCCTGTTGAGTGTGGCTGACTGGGAAGCTGAGAAAGAAGAGGAGATTGGGGCATTAGCAAGGAACTGTGGGATCCTGTGGCACTCGAAGGGCTGCTGTAGTGGAAAGTCCTGCCTGCCACTGGACTTTGAACAGTGGGACTGGGTGCCACAGGGGTAAGGCAGGGAGAGGCATTTGCTGAACCATATTGAGCCAGGGAAGCCAATGCAGACTTCTCCAGTGACATCTGGTGCAGTAAACAGCCAGACTGGAGGCCTGCCAGGCTAAAATGGCTGAGGGAAGATGGGGACCCCTCAACAGTCTGTTGAGTATGCTGTCTTCTACTACAGGATGGGGAGCCTTGTGGGGGGGACTGGAAAAGGTTTATGCCACTAGTAGTCCTACCCCCTCCAGCAAACTGTGGGAGAGGAGCCAACTGAGGAGGTTTGGGAGTCGGCTGGTTATGGGGAATCTGTCCAGGCACATGGCTGGAACATAAACCAGTAGATGAAGGACTCTCAAAAAGTGAGGAACCAATAAGTCCAGCTGTGATTCCATCAGAGGCTCCACCAAAGCAGGCAGTAGATCCAGCCACTTGGCCTCCAACTGCACCACCTACACCTCTGCTAGTATGCCCTCCCATGACGCCTACTCCTGGGTCACTTGGGAATCCGCCTACATGGCTACCTGCTGACCCACCAGAACCTTTTCCCAACGATCCTCCAGTATTCCCTACTGTTGAATCACCAGGAACTGCTTCATATGTTCCCCTGGAGGCCCCACTAGTGACAGCTCTTAAAGGTCCATCTTTTGTCCTCCCTAGTGATCCTCCAGTGGTTGCCACCACCAGTGATTCTCCAGAACTCCCACCTATTGATCCTCGAGAAGCTCTACTAATGGATCCTTTGGAAGTTGCCCCTATTGATCTTCTGGCTTTGTCTTGTATGGACCTACAGGTAACACCTACCGCTGCTCCACCTGATATCCCGCCTGTGAGCCTACCAGGAGGAGCAGCTATTGAACCTTCAGACAGTCCTCCAACTGTTTCCCCTGAGATTGCAGGTATTAAGCCATCAGTCACACCTTTTAAGCCAAAGTTGGTCCCACTCAAGTCTAGCACCCCAGTTGTAAAGTCCTCTCCAGCCCAAGCTGCGTCCCCTCCAGTGGCAACTTCAACAGAACCTCCAACTGCTCCAACTGAAGACCACCCTGTAGCACCACCACATGCTCCAGGTGCCCCACCACTTAGTCCTGACCCCGTGCTTCCACCACTAGAACCTTGGTGGAAGAGATTTGAAAGTGGTGGTGTATTGGATCGAAAGGGTTGCTGATGCTGGGGTTGTGAGTGTAACTGGGCCATACTTGATGAGGGTGAACCAGAGGAGTGTTGACCAAATGGGAAGACACATGTTGCTCCTTCACTGGATCCAGACCCAGTCACATTAGGTCCACGTTGGCCTCCACTACTTGTGGCATGCTGGGAAGAGCCAGTTGTCCCTGAACCTGACGTTAAGTGCTGAGCACGAAAAGAGGCTAACAATGGCATGTCTACCCCAGAGCGCAGCTTTGATGGTGTGCTAGAGGAAGAGTCCTCGGCAGAACCAGGTGTTGTGGATGAAGGAACAAATGAGTGTAACTTCCTTAGTCGACTAGGTGGGTCTTTAAGGGAACCCAGTACAGACACTGGGGGTCTAAAGAGTGTTGGTGGTAAGTGGGGATGGTGTGTCAGGGCAATAGCAACAGAGGTGGTGGCAGCTGCAGCCTGGAGAGGGGCTTGGATGAGGGGAGCCCAGATGACGGGAGTAGGTGAAGGAGGGGTCTGGGGTGGTGCATTTTGCATGAGATGGGCGCAGTGGGCCATGTCTCTGTCGTGCTGCACAATCTGTTGGATGATTTCATTCTCCTGGTAGTTGAGTACACCAGAACTTAGGTCATGTTGTACCTTGTGCTGCAGGATGGAGTTTTTCTTGCCTATAAAAGGATGTGCCCAGACAAACACAGAGAGATAAAACGGACACATAGGATGAGAAGTCAGATAAGTCAGGGTCAAAATCAGAAAGAAAGCAAATATAATAGGCATCTTGAAACAGGTAGACAATTAGTTGCACTAGAGACAACACAAGCAAAGAAAAATATATGGATGAGAGGATGGAAAGATAAAAGAAAGTTAATCTTGGGAGAGATTTCAACTTACAACCATCTCTATTTAATGTGATATTTTTAATATTTTAACTATTGTTCTAAAATGGCATGTCTTTGGGATAAAAATGTTAATTTAGAAAAAAACAAACAACAAAACGCAAGATTAAATTCAAAAATAGATTCTTAAATTTCTTTTGTGCTTTCTGTGAACTGTTTTCTCCATTATTAATATACAAGTCGTTGCTAATTCAGTATCAAGAAAAATACTTTGACATTGAATATCATAAACTCTTTTAAAGCAAGATAGACTTCCTTTTCTATTACTTCTATTGGCTCATAAGTTGTAATGTTTGTATTAGGTATTCTAACAACTTCCAGTCTTTCAAGGTCCCGAAGGACCCATTATCCTTTAAACACCTTGAATCAAAATGTGCAATCAAGGTAGCAATTTATTTGTGGATCATTGCTGCGTAAGTTGCTTTATTAGGGAAGATTTCTGTTTACCACCAAACCCAGCAGAAAGGATGTACACAGGAGACCACTCCACTGAAACATCACTATCGGCCCACCACATCTTTTCAAAGCAGCCATTTTCTACAAAGAGACCCCCTAAAGCAATTTCTCTATTTTCCATTCTCAACATAGCTGAGGATAAAACAGAGCATGCAGAGATGGTTGAGTGATGATACAGGCATGCCTTTCATTGTGAATTTTTCATCTGCCCAGACTGAGCCTGGGAACAGTGATGGATACGGAGAGAATATCAATTGTATGTGTAAGAGAAGTCAAAGAGGGATTTTAAAACTAAAACTTTATCTGCATGTTTATGTGCTGATGACTTTGAAAGTGGATTCAGTAATTCACTGTCTGTGAGAACATATCTATACCACTTACGCTTTCTTTCTAGCCATATTTAAAGTGATTTTCTTGCCCCACAGATGCCAATATCAGTTGTTAAAGTGGCATGAATGGCACTAGAGTAATTATTTCATCTGAATAATTTGAAAATATTTGGCATTGGTTTACATTCAGCTTGGAGTCTTGTGTAATGCAAGTCTAAAAAAGTTATTTTTCTCACCAATACGGTCCAGCCTGTCCAAGGCAACAGTTTCAAAGGCCCTTCTCATCATAGGATACTCCTCCAGCACCTCATTGAAGTTGTCGACCGACAGTGAGTACAGACGGCAGTATGTGTCAGCCCGGACACTGGCTGTCCTCCTGCCCCGTGTCAGCAAACAAATCTCTGAAACAAAACAGGTATGACACAGTTATGACACAACATACACAAACCCTGGAGCTCCTACTCCTGTCATCCAAATTTATGAAAATAAAAGCTACAGCAGTGCTATACAATTTCCATTTGCACAAAGTTTAAAGTTCAAGTTCACCGGGTATTTCATTATCAAACCTTGTTTGATTGTTTTCACAATCACCCTAAATCAAATTGAGGATTTTCTTTTTTTAAAAGGTAAACTACATGCTGCCTTCATCAGGATAAATGGTTTACAATGTCCTTTGCATTGCCTGTAAGTAAATGAAGAGAATCTTGAGAGCAATAGAATTAGAATAGCTGACTCCAAACATCCACATCAGTGCACAGACTACAGCCAGTGTCCCACAAACAATGGTGCAGAAGTGTTGGGGTAGATTTATTGACATAATCCCTCATAATAAGCCCATCATATACTCTTTTTTTGCACATTTGTGAATTGATTATCATATACCGGTGCCTGCAATTGATATTTTGGTATAACCTGAAGCATATTATTGCTTTTGGTGATAATGTACTTAACATTCCTTATAAATATACAGCATAATCATTGCTTCTCTGTAAAAATAGAAATGTTTTCTCAGTTCCAAGCTTTTGTAACAAAGAAATGTAACATTTTTGTAATTATACAGCACCCAAAGCATATGGTTCTGCCTTGCTCTTGAACTGTGGCACACTTATGGTGAGCATGGGAGTATTTGTACCTTTAGTGCATGCATATGTTGCACGAGCTATTCAAGGGGGAAATGTCTGCGCTGAAGCCTGTCTTCTCATTACACATGCTCATGTATGCATGAATGTACCGTATGTGTACTGGGATCTTTTCATTACAGTAAGGGTTATGATATTTATCATGTATACTTTACAGACAAAAGTCTACACTTCTATAAACTGATAATGATGAATTATCTTATACTTGTTTTATCTTGTGCCATATCTATCTCTATATTCCCTAATTTATTTTCTGTTAAGCTTTCATTTCATATTCCGCCCCCCCCTTCCTGTGTTTGTTGTTACACTACCTCTTTCCCAGGAATCTGTTTCTGGCTCAAAGTGCCACACAATAAACTCACACAAACACACACACGAACACACACAAACAAAATGTAACCCTTCACTTCCATTGGCCAATTAAACATGAGATCCTTCAAGACAACTAAGCAGATGATTAAAAACATAAATAAATTGATAGACATGCACATAACTCATCTTAAATCATGGTCAAGAAAAGACAGAGTTAAAAGAAAATTTTATCTCATCTCTACTTAACTTATCTCATATCTTGTCAATATACTGTCTCTAAAGTGAGTCTACGTGAATGCTAAATAATTGAAACAACACTGTCCTGCATTATTTAAGTGCAAAGTACATGTGTATTCTGATAAATACAATACAAAAATAATATATATATATGCTATGTCCAAAGGACATCTCAGGGGTCTGTCTAGAGGGTTTTTCTTAATATTTACAGCATAACCTGGATATCTCTATGAAATACTTAGATAAAACATATATAAGGATAGTTCATTCTAAAATTTCACAAACTGTTGATTTTCACAGGCCAAAGTAATTTAGCCAAAGTAATTCAGCTTTTATATATCAATAGTTGCCTTTAAAGAAAGGAAAAAGGAATATATTATTTTTGTTGTTTATACATATGCAAAGAAACCAGTTTATCTTATGCACTCTCAGCCTGATATTTTCAATGTATTTTACAAAGCTCTACTTCTAGTAGGAAGCATTATCCAAAATCATTCATTTGCAGTACACAAATGCTCAGATTTCTATAATACACCTTTTCTATCATGTCTCCTGTACACTCTAAACCAAGAGTGCCCTAATTCGGTACTTAAGGGCCGCTGTCCTGCTGATTCTAGATTTCCCCGCATTCAGCACACCTGACTCATGTCTGTGTGCCGTCATCAGGCTTGGGCAGAGCGTTTGAACTGATCCACTCAATCAGAATCTGGTGTGCTGAAGCAGGAAACTTCTACAACCTGCAGGACAGCGGTCCTCAGAGTGGAGTTGGACATGCCTACTATACACAGACTAATCTCTAAAGGTGTTTCCGGTTTTGAGTTTGTGCATCTTGCTGAGAATATCCTTCTATCTGGTGCATGTTTAAATAGCATTTTCTTCATATTGTTAATGGGTGAAAACTTCAAGCATGTCCATAATATCTCCATACAGTCTGTAAACACTTTCAAAAGTCAATAAAGAAAGACTGAAAAATATAAACACTACATAAATGTAGCATTAACCTCACAGCAGCCTGACTGCTTAAGAGTAACCAGGGCTTAGACATATTCTAGTCTTTGAGGTAAAGTGGTTATGATTGCGTGCAATGGTTTGAAAACTGTGACGGGGGAGGTGATAATGGGAAAATGCATGATTTTATAGGACATAGTGAAGAATATGTACTGTATATGAAGCGCGAAAACACAACCTGATGTGCAGGTTGCCATTATTTGTGTGCGAGAAAGGGCATGGGTGAATGGACAATGGCTCAGTTAAGCAGAGAGCAGTGAAAATGTGAAATGGGACAGTGTGTATGCTCATGTGTGCTCGTACATATGTTGTGAGAATGTACTGTAAGTGTCTGCTGGAAGGCAGCCCTGGTTATAGTTGTGCTGGGGGTCCATTTCCCGCAGCACTGCTCCAGTAATCCCCTCTGGAGACGAGCATCGCAGTTCTGTATTAAATCCTCTTGTCCCGTGGCTTTCTGGATGAAGCCAACACTGCCAGGATGGGGTAGTGAGCTGCAGTGAGCCCTCTGGCCTCATATGATGGGTTTTGGAGCAAGCAAGTGAAGCACTGGCGTTTGCTTTGCTCTCCGAACTCTCAGTGGAAAAAAGTAAAAAGAGAAAGGAGGAGAAAAATCCCACCTACTATTTGGGTCTGGAAAAAAATTAAAGATAAGTAGAAGCCTTCGAGAACTAAGACAATATATGTAAAAGCAAATCTTAAAAGTCAACGCTGTCCTAAATAATGAAATATTTAAGGTGGGATGTAACTGTGCAAATTCTAGCCAGATGGGTATTTGCTCCAACTAATATTTTGGGTATGCTACTCACTATTCCAGCCAAGAGTAAAGAAAAGTTCTACTGTTAAGGCATCATCAATTGAAAATTCATGACTCAATTAATAGTCATAGCTTAAATAATTGTCGTTATGGATACATTTCTTATTAAAAGATGGGTAGTGTGCAGTTCTTCTGAGTGGCGGACGGGTGAAAGCAAGGGTACATTATGAACTTTTTCCATCCATATTTTTGTCCCAAGTCTGCAAAGTTTAAGCTAAATAGACCGCTGTTGCCTGATTTATAGCTGAAAGTGAAATAAAATCAGAAAATCAATTGCATCCATACATCCGAGTATGAGAAAAACAACGTCCTCCACCTCATTTCTTTAGTTTGTTAAAGAGCACTGTAACTTTCGATAAAAACAGTATCAACTTTTCTGTCTGTCCTTGGAAAAAATCTTTGTCAGGAAATGTTTAAGCCTTGGTAAAAAAAACCCACACCAGTCTTGTTTGAAACCCAAGATGTTTGTGGCTACTGCGATATATTCACATCACTTCTGAGGTACTCGTAGCTGTCAACACTGAAATCAAGTCAACACGATTATATGAGTATAGTGCTAAGAAATGTTTGATATGATTTATTAGAGGGCAATACTAAACAAGCATGAATATCAACATGGAAAAAGGATTAATTCTAGCTGGAAAATATTGTGTTCTTTTCAGGATATTCAGCAAGTTTTTATGAATTTCTATCTCACCTTGTTACTGATTTGTTTATTTGGACTTCTGGAAACCCCTGAAAGGACTCAGAGAAGCACAAGAAAACCAGAAGGTGCTTTGTTCAGAGATTTAAAAACTTGAAAACTAATGCAAACACAATCAACTTGCCCTCCAATCTGATAAAAAGGCACAGCCTAAAACCAATGCCCAACTTAAAGTTTTGACAACAAAAATATAATTCTAAATATAATTCTAATGTAATTCAAGAGCTAGAGGCTGCTGCAACGTCTAAAGGCATTACATAGTTGTAGTAACTAATCCACTGACTGTGTCCAAGTAAAATTTAATCCATTCACCTGAAAGCAGGTTGCATTTTAAGCTTAAGTTTCAACATCTAAACATAAGTGGAACAAAAAAGCATTCTAATTCAAGTCACTTTAGACAGCAAGAATTCATTTCACACCATATGACAACACTATCTGAATGCAAATAATGTCTTGGAATTATCTTAAAAATGGTGTGTAAAGGTATATGTCCGACTCTTCTGGATGAATACTTCTAAGTTTTATCACTAGGAACACTTTGTTTTACTGCTTAGCAAAGAATTTCCCTATGCTATTCATGAACGCTATGTTATTTATGAACGTTGTACTTCTTCTGCTTACTCACATTTCCTATGACTCATCACAATGGCCCCCCCAATCCTAAAAATTATAGAACGAGCTTAGATGCTCTGGCTGAAAACTGGAAGGGGCATGTGCTTTTTGTATTTCAAACTGACAACTGCTTCAACAGTTTTTCATTTCTTTTTCCAATGTTTTGTGAAAAATTGTGAGGTGTTTTATCTCAACTAAGCAATGCTTTAATATCATCATGACTGGGAATTAAATGTATTTTCGAACTGGTGGTTTTTACACAGACTATGTATGGGCATGAGAGAACTTACCAAACAGTAAATTTAGCCGCCTTGCCCTGCCTCCCGGCTCTGCCCAGATCAGGCTCACAGCTGTATTCGTTATCAAAAGTGAAATTAGGAAGACAGCACTGCAGACCTAATGTTTTAACCATCAACCTTAATGTATGTCATTTTCACACTTAAGGGACAATACATTCATTAAAATTGAATGACACCAATTAAAATTGGATGTTGCTCTGGGAAAGGAGGACTAAAACATCATGTGCTGTGACCTTGGCAAGAACACACATGACTGCTTTCCTGCTGGATGGTGCAGTCCACATGTCATGCGCTCTTACTAGAAGGATGCTTCCCTTGAGTCCTTGCACCAGCTCTAAAGAGAAGAGTAGAATGCAAGGGTTTGTGTGTGTGTGTGTGTGTGTGAGTGAGTGTTTTTTGAGAGAGAAAGCAAGAAAGGGAGAAAACTGAAACATCTTGTGTGCATTACTGTGTTTTTACTTCTGTGTGCCAGTCTCAAAGACGGGAGATCAGTGCAGGGAAGACTTCTGTACTTTTTTTAGATTTCCCACACACATTTTTACATTAACGCCAGCTTAACGATCAGAGAGAGAAGCAGAATTTATGAAACTGCACATGAATTTTCATAGATGTTTTGCAGCATTTACCAAGAGTGTCCTCACGCCTCAGTGATGGCGTAACTTGAGCTGCATGACTCCACATGAGTTAAAACCCATGGTTTTTCCAGCCCTATGTGATATTGTTTCTCATTGTGACAACAGGAATTTTTTTTCTTTCTCTGTCTTTAAGCACTCCAGAAATGTGACTGACTTAAGGTCAGGTGACTGTAGGGGTCAATGTGACTATGACAGTCTTTACTCCCTGGGCTTCTCGGGTTTTCAAGTAGTGCTTGAAATCCTTGAGCTGTGGCAAAGCCCCCTATCTCCGCAGCACTTTTATACGTTCATCTAGTCAAAGATATACAGCAGAAGGTGTTGCAAGTGTCTGGCGAATGGAGAGCCACTTCTCCCCGGTCATGAATCAGATTGATTCAGTGCAAGTGTCTGAATCCAGAGCAGAAAAATGCCAACAGACATCAATACTTTCAATATCAGGTTTGATGAAGGATATGTAACCTGCATTAAAAGATTATTTCTGATATTCATTTTCTACAAATCTCAAACTTGCATTTATCAGTAAATAAATTGTTGGTCTTTTCTGCAGTCCACTGTAAGACGCTAATTTATGTGAGCTCTAGTGGTGTTTGGCCTTGTCTCCACTTTATTAGAGGCTGTTGGGTGTTTTTTGTCTGTTTTTTTTTCTAATGGGAATGTCCTGTTCTTGTTTATGTGTGTTGCCCTGTCCTAGGGTATACCCTACTTCTCATCTAATGTCTGCTGGGTAGGAAACCAAATACTTCCTCTTCATTTTAAATCATAGTCTTTGGAGTTTTTAAAAATGTTTAAAAAATTGTTGTAATTTACAGTTTTTATAAAAATACCACTTTTTAAAATACATGCTCTAAAGAGAAAAATCCTATTTGGTCCATAAACACATTTTTAGACTGTGGGATGAAGTCGGAAAAGCTGGATAATGAACCATGAGAGAACCCACAAATACAAAAGGGGGACCATGCAAATCCCACCCAGAAGGGTCCCAAATCTCCGTGGTGATTTTAACAGAAAATTTGCTTGCTGTGCTGAGCACCACACCACCGTCCAGACCAGCAAAGAACCCTTATTGGCTACAGTTATCATGTTCTCTTAAAAAATTCCAGGAAGGATAGATACATTATGGGTAATACTATGTTCTATGTGAGATAAATGACTGTGAGATTGAAACCTTCCCTTGTCACTAACACACAATGGAAGCAGGAAATTCAGTCATATTTTGTTGCTAGCATAAAAATAAAAAGAATGAACCTGATGACAGGCACACTAGAATACAGTTAACACTGCTGGACAAAAAGTGATGTACATATATATTTTCTAATACTAAAAAACCTTTTGAAATTAATTTTTTAACACTGTGGTGCAAAAACGGGCATATTTATTTATTTATATAATACTGAAAAGCATTTTCTCACAGCTGCCTTTCCATGGCTTGCTAAAAAAGAGAAGAAAAAAAAGGTGCCTTGCACCTTTAAATCATATGACATTTGAAAGCCAGTACTGTGAGGTAAAGTGTTTTTAGATAAGCTGCATGTGATTTTCATGTCTGCATGTTTGGATGCATTCATATTAGTGCTAAATGTACATAGAGTCATGGATATGAGTGTGGCTGCCTGGACTGAGGTGAAATATCTGTATCTTGTAGCCTGTTTTGGCAAAGCTCACCTGGCCTCTGAAGCCTGCTGTCAGCTTCCATCTCCCTCCTTGATAGTGCCCCCCGTCCACAGAACATTCTCTAACCTTTAAAACATCCGCACAGGGCTGCTGATTCCCTGTGACATGTCATGTTTGCTTCCTCAAAGCATTAACATAGCTGCATAAAACACCTTCCGTTTGGCTGACTTGGGAAGATAGAGAAGATGCACTTGGTGTAGTTCGACATCAAAGCTGGTGCTGGAGCTTTGCTTCATTTATTCAAGTGAGACTGTGTGATTTTATGTTGGTGAGAGAAAAAGAACGCATAAAAGGATTTTTTTCCGATTTAAAAATACTCTTTTAAAATATGTTCTTCATGATATCTTTTTCAATTTAAGAACACATTCTCTCACAAACTACAAAATTATTTGCTTTCATGGGTAATGAACTGTTTTTAATAAATGTCAAACTTTAATTAATTGTGAGTCATCTCCTTATTCTTATTTTACTTGAAGCTCAACAGTATCTTGAGTTATGTATCACCACACATTGTTATACTGAACATCATACTAAACCCGACACCTTCACTTAGTCAACTGAGGTTAACGACTGGACTGGACAAATGATTCACTAATTTAAGATGACCACTTGGCAGGTCAAAAGTAAAACTCTCTGAGTACATGAAGATGGCAAGAAAGTGAAAGAGTATGTAAAGATCTTTTTGCCCAAAATCACCATTTCAGGGACTTCCATTCACAGAAAACCAGAGTGAGTGGAGTCAATAATATGACATAAGTGATGGCAAACTGTGCCTTCAACTCAAGTCCACCCCTCAGTCCCCTCCCTCTGTCTGCCTCAGCCACACTCTTTTCTTTTTTTTTCTTTATCCCGCTCACATTGCTACTACAAGCCACTCATTCTGACCCAAAGTGAAGCACCTTAGAGGTTCAATCAAACCCGGCATTTGATAAGCACCTCTGACTGGCATGCGAGGCCACCGCAAGGTCACTGAGCTCCTGCCCCAACCAAGAGAGACATAGACAGCGCTGGCAACACATCAATTACTGTAGGCAACAAAGGATGAACTATCACAGCATAATAACCTTCTCAGTCTGGGCACAGAGAGAGTAGAGGAGATGTTTTTTCAGATAAGTGTTTCAATACTGGACCACGAGGAGAGAAAGAGGCAAGGGGACGGCGGGGGTGGAGTGTGAATGTTTTTCTTTCGGAGCCCGCTGCCTCCAGAAAGTAGCCTTGGCCGCAATCCATGTGTCCCTTGGCGTGAGTGCCACAGTCACATTACATTTCCCGTCTCTACTGGATTGCTGTGTGCGCAGCCGACGCTCCGATCCAGGGCATGTCGTGTCCACTTTAGACTTTAGGCTCTCTGGCTCAAGCTAATCCAACAGCTAACAAACTGGAGCAGACTGCAGAGTATATAATTGTGTAAATAATTCAGGTCGTCTTTGAATGAGCAGAGTGGTACATGAGTTTGCTGAGATGTTGATGAGAAAATACATATTCAATCAGCACCACAAAATAGAACTGACAAAAAGAGAAGCTCCTCAATGACAAGAGGGCTTCTGTCCACATCCACAAGCTCGTGCTGAACTTTGTCTAACTGGACAGAGAAAAAATAAATGAATAAGAAATTTTTAAATGTTGCCCCTTTCCACTTTTGGCCTGCTGATATTAAAAGCCACACTGAAAACCACATGTGCCATACACTCCCTGTGCTGATGCTGCACCAATTAATTTCATGAATGACTAACTTGTGTTTGGTAACAAACTCCCAGTGGCTCTCGGCTTTCCTCACAACACCCCACCACCCTTACACCCTCGTATGAGAGGTACTGCCAGGAAATCGCTAGATAATGGATTTAAAAGCCTTGTGCTTACATTGAATGAAGGTGAAAAATAATTATATATCTAAGGCTTAAGATTAAAGAGACTAAACCAGTTTTCAGTGCAGAAGCTGAGCCTTTTTGCTTCTCAGTTAACCCTGCCTATTATTATCAACAGACAAAAAAGGTAAAAGCAGACGCATTCAGTCTCATGCTTATGACAAGGCTATATGAGGCAAGAAACAAGCTTGTGAGCACAGTAAATATTTCACTGAATTTCAGTGTCCAGTTGAAAAGAGACAAAAGGCCCCCGAGGGATCCATGGCCATGTTGTCTAAAGTGCTTATTAGTGCTGGCATGTTCAGGGATAGATTGCTTGGCATCTCTTCACTGTTTGTCTTCACCCCACTCCTACCCAATTCCGTGCCCACCCAAGGATAGGAATTGAGCAGGCAAAGCATAATTAAACTTCCACTTGCAGGTCATGTGCTGTTAAATGCTTTGCTACCACTTCTAATTACCTAATAGTGCAGTCTAAATGATATGCTGTCACTGGGCAAATTAATTGGCATTTGGGGAGGGCAGTATGGCAGCGTTCTCTTCTACATGTGTCATAGGCTCAGTGGGACCACGACAGAGCTACGCATTTTCTCACTCTGATTAAAAACATACCGCAAGTTAACTAAGCAAGATGTGTGTTTTATTGCTCCAATCTTGAGCTGTAACTCCACAGCTTCCTGACCTCTTGACATCTTATGCCCATGTCTTAGACTGCAGTACAGAAAGATATGTTCCGGTCACTGAAGTGAATTAAGGTGATGTCTGGAGATGCATGTGCATGTGTTGACGTAAGGAAGCATTTGATAAATGCTTTAAAAATATCTGGTAGACAGCGTTCTATTTTTTTCAGTTCTCGGATTTGTTCACGGACTTTTACTGTCACTTTCTCCACTCTGACACCTTGGTTGCAACACATCATTCTCACTTGTTGTGATGGGAAGGAGCGGGCAAATTTCATGGCTGGAAATTGCAAACAGCAAATAAAAAAGTAGTTTGCCTTGTCTTTAGGCTCCAAAACAAGAGGTGTGAGCATATGTGACCTTTGAGGTTGTGCTACTCGTGCCAGTTCAACTTACCCCCAAAGTAGGAGCCGTCAGAAAGTTTAGTCTCTTTATTTCCTTTGGTTAGTACGCTGACGACACCATGCTGTATGAAGTACATTTTCTTGCCGATGGTCCCCTCTCTGATGATGTAATCGCCGGGCTGGAACACCTCAAACTTCAACTTCGTGAGCATGGACGTGACAAAGTTGGGATCAGCGTTGGCAAATAAAGGCATTGAAGCCACCAGCTTTCGACAGTTAAAGTTGATTATTTCCTGTATGAGAAGACAGAGGTATGTTGAAAATGGTTGAAAGACTTGTATTTCCAGTCAAACTGACCACACAGTACTTTACACTACATGGCATCCACCCATACACCGATGGATCCACCAGTGGACAGCTCAGGGATCAGTGTTTAGCCCAAGGCCTTTTCGACATGTGGCAGATCAGATCAGTAGGCTATATTGCTCTGAGCAACAGCCGCCTGGAGGTAAACATTGGGTTGGTCACCTGTGCATGTTTGAGTAATCAGTTAATTTTCTGTTTAGGAGCCACTCTGTTACAATGTTGTTTGGGTTTGGAATTTGTAAAAAGTAAAAAACACTTCACTTGAACATTTCTGTTGGGAACACCACATGTTGAACAGTTGCAAACAAATACAAACACAAACAAGACAGAAACATTTTCCTACCTCCCGGAGTGGCTCATTCAGCTCTCCCAGGATGCTTTCTTCGTCAAACATCTTGCCCTGATAGCGGTGCTCATAGTAATCATGGATTCTCTGCCTCATATCTGCCGGCAGCTTGTGGAAGGACATGTACTGCTCAACCTGTTTGTACTGCAGGGACACAGAGACACACAGCAACGGGATTATTCAAAGGCCATGGTGCTGCAGAACAGAAAAAAAACAAAAGAAACATCCACAAGGATGAGAGAGAAACAAGTAAGACACTTTCCTAATTTATGTCAGATCTGTTAGAGTTTAAGATACAGAAATGGTCAAACTCAACTGTCTATCGTGGACTTTTTTCTTCCATAATTCTCCAATACCAGAGGCAGCTAACATCAAAGTGTTCTGAAAGCCTCTTACGAATAATAACAGGTAGAATCCTTGACACACCGTGTTTTTAAAGGAAAAAAACAACAAGGAAAAGACATTAACCATTCATGGTGCACTCTTTGATCATAATTTCTAAACCGCCAACTGTGTTATCACTGAATGGTGCGGTTGACCTTAGATATCCTCCTCTTTCTTGTCCAACACTACTTGGTCTTGGAAGAAAAACCATCAAAGGGCCACCCTTGTTTAGATGGAACACTGAAAATAAGGACAGCTGAAAGCAGAAAGTGTTCCAGGTTTTCTCATATTTAGACAAAAACAAGTCATTTGACAAATACATAAGTTTTAGGTTGGAGGGCATCCTCTAACCCTGATACCTAATACCACAACTCAGACTTTCTAATGTCCTTTTTGTCCCTTTTCCTTGATGCAAGACTCAGTTTGTCTTTGTTCCCCTTGCTGCCAAATTTAGAAGAAATCTGGGGAGTTTGTGTTCTACTATAGTCATTTGAGTTCTGAACAGATCGGAGTGCAGACCCACTCTGCAAATGATACAGCCTCCTCAAATTTGACAAGTGACCCACAAATGATTCCTAGCCCAAAAATATAGTGTTAGATGAAGAACTCTGACAGTTTAGGCAGCTTGTTTCAATGCATGTAACATACTGTGTTATTACATATTTATATATAAATCTCCCAGGAACTCATGTTGAATGGGGGTGGATAACTCAATAGAAATTGGCCCACTCATATCTCCACCTGCCAGGAGCTGATCTTACAAAGACCAAATTAAAGGATTGCTGTGGGACTTTCAGCCTCACTTTCATGTCTTTAATGAACAGAACTTCAGTCCCAATTCACTGTCAAGGTATCTGATCTGCCTGTGGATATCCAGCCGAGGAGCATTGATTTATATTTTGTTTCTGATTTGAAGGTTAGATTTGCCTCTGTGACACATTTGATCAGTGCCAGGTCTCAGAAACTACTTAAACAGTAAGCATGTAAGCAATCCAGCTTTGAAGGATCTCCTCCCTGATTTGGGATCATACAAAAAAAAAAAATAGCCATCAAAAGATGGCCAGTGGACATGTACAACTTTAAAGAGCACATGAGTGTGGAGTGTCAAATCAATTAATTCTATGTTTTGTGTAAAGTAAGTAAAAATGACAGATGCAAAGCCAGGAACAAGATGTGGAAAGAAGATTTAAGATATCCAATTTTATCTTATATATCTATATGATGGGGGAGATGAATGAGTTCTGTCACGGGGTATGTGTTAGAGGTTTTATCCTCACAATCCCCACAGCATAACATAGAGCATTTTCTCATCTGATGATGAAATGTAATCCCCCCCAAAGAGGAGAACCTTTTACTCCTTTCCTCCACGACTTCAAATGCTTTGAAAAACAACTGCAGACATGACTATATGCAGTCCCACGGATTTTTGAGAAGTAAAGATAGTTTGCTTGCCTGTGACACCAGGGTGAATATGACAGGTGTCACCAACATTCGGAGAGTTGTTTTACGTCTTTATGCCTCCTGCACGACATGTGCCACAGCATGAAGCAGTGTTTTTAAACCATGGATGATCACCTCCTCTACTATGCCTCTTTCTTACACTTACAAGAAATAAATGCCGTAATATACCCACAGCAGAAAATTACAGCTTGATTCTGCGAGAAAGAAAATATTTTCCTCAAATGAACAAATTCAAGATACTACCCTATTGCCATGTTGATGATGACTATAGAAAAAGCTAAGCTTACACTCTGTAGAGTCTTAGATGAAGACCTGATAGGGATGTAAGGAGTCCAGCCTTTGATGGTCTGATAAAACCCTCTGTGACAGAAAATGATCTTATTGCTGCACAGCCACCGTCATGCTACCACCAAGAAGATCTCTGCTCCTCTACTCTACTTGGCCAAATCAAATAATAGTCAGCATTATGTTTTACCATCAGATTTCTTCAATATTTCCTGCAGAGAGGCTCTAAAGGGAAGCCAATGGAAAATAATTCCATCTTCTTTCTTTAATTTGACATTTGCAGATGATTGGATTTTGTCAGATGGGCAAAGCGCTTGATAAACTTTGTCATAAAGCTCTGTCAGTGCCTAATGTTAGTGTCTAATGGCTGCAGCTATGCTAAATTGTAAAGAAGATGCTGAGGTTATTTGAATTTTTTATATTTGAAAAATGTTTGAATATTACTTTGAATTACATAATTACTCTGCAAACAATGCTCGCACTCCTACATGAGTACAGTACTACACAGAAGTGAGGGGTTAGGTGAATTAACCCTTTCAGCCTTTGCAATTCTGCGATGATGGTAAGCTTTTCCCTGAGCTGACAGAACTGCAACTTAATTTATTTATTTTTAGATTACAAATCTCTATCTCTACTTCAATATTTCCTTACATATCAACTTTTAAATTTGCTACCATTCATACTTTTCCTTTTGTTCTGATTCAGTTACTCTTTTGTCATCCACATTATGTTTCCCAATTCCCTTTCCTCTCCAAACAGATGCAAATTTTCGCCAAATAAATCATTAATAATTCATTTCCCAAGAGATGTCAGCCACTTAATTATACTTCCTAAACATTTTTTTTTCACCACCGTTTTCTTTTCCATTCGATTTTGATGCAGGGTCCAAAGGTATGGGTCAAAGTGAACATTCAAATATTTTCAGTTAAAAACAGAACCATGAAATGGCGTCAATCTGCAGAAAATGCTGTAGTTGGAGAGATGTATGACAGCTTATCTGTCTCTACGGTTCGACTTGTCCATCATTCCCATCAGACATGAAGCATCCTGGCTTTTGTGTCCCCCCTACAAAACCTCAGAAGCAGATCGGTTCTCTGATTCGCTAAAAATACTCAGCTGGCTGGCCTATTTTTGACAAAAGCCACATCAGCAGCACAGACTGATGAGTCAGACAGGAAGTCAAACATGGTAAAACCATAGATAATCTGCTCGATTTTTCTCAACCGAAAGTAAACAGGCCAATGTCATGCCCTACTTTAGACATGGTCCCAGTATCAATCTAACGTACGTAATGGATGGAGCAAAAACATACAATCATATCGGTTTTAAACAAGGAGTTAGTCAACCTGAAGAAAGAAATTTTCCTACAAACATCATACTAAAGGAACACATTGGACTAAGTGCAGTACAGTCACTACAAAATGCATCCACAGATCTAAAAACTACAATCAGGAAATAGAAGATTCATTTTATGTGTTTTTTTTTTACTCTAAAAGTGCTTTGCAGAGGACATCTGAGGCCTGCTGACACCTCTTGACTCAGCACTAAGTATGTTATATGACATACAGAGAGTAAAGGGTAATGTGAGGTTTATATTATTTCCCTTAGTCAGGTTCCAATTAATGAGAACTGCTGTTACTTTATGCATTAGCTTTAATCTCTTTGACTTGTTGACAGCACAGTCCTTAGGCTGACTTTACGAGAAAACCTTTGCAGGGAGCCACAGATTAATTGTTTCTCATACATGAAATTTACATCATCCTTATGTCTTTTTTTTAAGCCTTCAGCCGAACTGAAATTGAAGACAAACAGGTAAATGTCCATATTAAATTAGTTGCGTTAACAACTCTTCAAACTGCATTAATCTTCTTTCCCTCTGGACCCCTCTAAGGGACATTAAAAAAAGTCTCCAACTGATGACTGTTTATTGTATTTCAAAAGTCTTGACTAAGGAATGAAGATGGAGAGAAAAGGATCTCTAGAGTCTCTTCACCCCCAAATAATCAGCTTTGGGTCTCTTATTAACTATTCTCCAAAGGGATATTTTTAATTGCCAAGTGTTAATTAAAGATGTAAAGGGGTGGGCTTGCAGCATCCCATCGCTGTGTTCTCAGGCCATTTGGGACAGGCATGCCACAACATGCAATCTCATGGGCATCCTTGATTTCATTACAAACTGCCAACAACAAACAGAGCACCACTCAGTTATCATGTGCTGACTAGTGTAAAAAAAAAGAAGAAAATAATGCTTATAAAGATGAGAAAATCAGAAAGCTTCAGCACGGTGAGTGAGACAACGAGGCACCTGGAAATGAATGGGATTATGTCTTTTGTGTGGTGTTCCCATCTCCATCTCAGTGAACCGTATAAATTACAGCTGTAGAGCCACAGTGGCAGATAAGTAGCAGATTACAGAGATCTGGAGTGGCAGGCATACCCTGTATGCACAGTCACGTGTGCTGCCATCTTGTGCCCCCAATCTGAAGAGATGTAATTCTCATTGTGTGATAATGGTTCTCAACATGCCTGAGACAAGAGGAAAAGATTCATTTGGGAATTTGCCAGATGTTTAACCCAATATAACACACAATGTTAAAAAAGGGGTTTAGTAGCAAAACTGTTTGATGTTTAGGATACTAAGATCAGTTCTGAATTTCACACCAGTGACCCTCTACTTTGAACAACTTAGATACAAATATAGAAAAACAAAACATCAAAAGTCACTCACCGCAAAAACTGTACCATAATTCAGAACATAATATGCTGAAAATAGCCTTGATTTTACAGATGTGGATTTAAGGCTCTCTCCAAACTTGGTTAGATTTAGGAAATAAAAATGTGGTGTTCAGGGTTTGAGAAAATGTGAGGATCAAGGCAAAATACAAATTTCACAATGGAGATGATACGTTTACAGGATTTCTAAAAAGTAAAACCCATAGAGCCAATACTTCTACTGATGCCTATAGGGTGAGCCCAGCAGATCTTTTAAATGATAATAGTAATGATAAAAACTGTGTAGGGGTAGAACTCTATATGCTTAAAACGTTGGAGTTAGGAGATGTCGGAAAGTTACATCATCTCTAGCTGTATTCAATCTGGAGATTTACACATATGGATCTGAAAACAGCTGGAAAATGCACAATTCCATAACTGTTTATCAGCAAGGTCTGTTTCCACACCACAAAAGACTGGTGACAGTAAAATGTATTTAACTGAGGGACAATGGATCTAATTAAGATATTTTTTATGTCAGTGGCACCCACCTTTCAATCTTCACCTCTCTTATATGTGATAGTCTGGCCCTCTACTCTCTACAATTTTCACATGGAGCCACATTGTAATAGAATTTTACGCATTATACCCAGGCATCCTGATGATACTTCTTGCTGCCTTTGAAAGAGAACCTTTGTTCCTTTGCCTTTCCTCATCCAAAACTATGCACTTCTGAGAGTCCACCACATGTTTGCTTTCCTCATGGAAGTCCCTTAGAGGAGTTCATCGATTTGATTCCCAACTAAGGATAAAAGTTACCTGGGTATCACCTCAGTATGCCAACTGGACAGATGGTCTCTCATCTTGGCCATATCGCCTGGAGAGCCGCTTGCTCTATTTTTTACACCTCATTTACAGTGGACAAACGCAGGGCCCGTGTCACATCAAAACCAGCAGGAAGCAGTTAAATTTGGCAATGGTGCCGCTTGGCTCAGCAGTGATCTACTATCTCACTTCTTTCACTAGCTAAACATTGGTCATTATCTACCCTACATCACGCTGTGCGAGAAGTGTAAGTGTTATTTCGTGTTATATCAGCTGAAGGGCTAAAATCAAACATAATACACATCACAAATGTAATACAGTCCAAAACATCTGCATATTATGGCTTGGATTCGGATCATGCTTTTACCATTTCATTACAATAATGATAACTATCAAAGCCGCATTTTAATGTTTGAAGTCTATACTGGTAAACAGTAAGTCAGAATTCATTCACTTCACACACTGCTGGTTCATGTAGATGATGTCTTGCTGCCTTCTTTGAAGCATCAACTTGGGAATCATTGGCTTCTTAACAAAAAATGAAACTGTAAACCACAGAGATCCCCTTTAGCTCACAAACAAGCAACAGAGGAAAATAAGCAATGTTGGATTTATAAATGCTTAATTCTCTTTGAATTCCGCAATTTCAGCGAACGTTTGTGCCAAGTCAAAGAACAACCTAAACTTAAAGCAAATGGGATGATGATGACCAGGACAGTAGAACACAAACGGCTACTTATTTGAGTTAGATTTCATTAAAAAATACAATCATTAGGGTACAAAATTATCAAGCTGTTTAGAATTTTAAATCAAACATCTTTGATGAAAATATCAAGACTTTTTCAATGTAAACTGGAACAGTCTGTGATAAAGAGGCAAAAAAAAATCTGGGTCAGCTATCACATATAAAAATACTTCAAATTATAGTCACTTATATTGGCTTAGTCATAGTGAAAAATACAACAATAGAAAGAATTACTCTATCTGAATTGTTTGCTGCCTTATTAATGTCTCACAACATATAAAATACAAAACATCAAAAGTATATTAGACAAGATACAACAGAGACTGAGCTTTATCACTGAGCGTTGTGGAGTGATGAATGAGATGATCCACAATCTTGAAATTGATTGCAGTCGGTAGTAATAACCTCTTTGCAGACAGACATTGTGGGAGAGTGGAGCCAGGGGCTCCTTTCAGCTGCCTGCGAGAATCTGAAGATGCCTTTGGGGCATGATCCAAGAAATGGCAGCCAATGGTTTGAGTAGCACATGCTGAATGGTCCTCAGACAGGCTAGCTGTTCAGTTAACTTGGCAGTGAGTATCTTTAAGCAGAGGAGCAGACACATGCTCTCACCTCTTGTTTAATAGCCACTAAGATCAGCTTTTTAGTGCCTCTGCTTTTTGCCCTGGCTCTCCGTCCCTGCCCTTCTTCACTCCAACTTTCTCTCCTTCATTTAGGTGTGATGTCTCAAGCATCTGCCTCCATTCTCTGGAGGTTATCCTCTCTTGTCTCCACTATAGACAGTGAGCACTGTAGCATTCTAGCAACTGAGCTCATTATCACCCATGCTGGACGCACAGAGGTCAAAACAGTGCCGGACATGTCTTGGCCCTAACAAACAGCCACCAGGACATTCTTTCCCCCGACCAGGTAATGGTGGGGGTTTCAGTTTCTATGAGCTCACTTGTCCTTAAAATGTTGCGTAACTTCTCTAAGGTTTATAGGGAATTCTTGTATGCAGTGAAATCCTTTAAAGGTCTGATACTTGCACTGAGCCAAAATACCTGCTTTGGGCCCCACAGTCCTTCCCAGATGTGTGGGAAACAACATTTGATTCCCTAAGATTATGTCTGACGTCTTCCCTATTTGGCAGAGTTTAGTCAATTCATATGAAATCATTAATGATTTCACACATTTATTTTTGCATTTAGAGATAAAAACAATACTCCACAATTCATAATCCCTTTTAATCTCATGATTTAGCTACCGGTATATATTACCATGCACATACTTCAGCTTCATATTTTTCAAGGATATTATTTTGAACATGGGATTGGGATTGTCTCAATTTTCTCTAAGGAGTGGCTGGTGACTTTTCAAACCAGTGGTTTAGGAGATATTTTCATTGCTTTTTTCTCACAAGAGCTATTAAAGAAGTGCCTTAGCTTGGTGTGTGAATGTGACTTCGAAAATCAATGAAACAGAACTTTGAAGTGACCAAGCAAAACCCAGACTTATACTTAGGACAAGCCAGAAGCCTCCCTCACCTCCTAGTGCACTCTCTTCAAAAAGTCAGATTACAAAGCCATGTGTAAAAATTGGTACTCTTGACTCACCTTCTCCTGGTACTGCCGTCGAGATGAGTCCAGAGACTGGATTAGTGCAGTGGCATGGCCCACAAACATGGCGTAGCAGGTAGCGCCCACAATCATGCTGAGGATGGTCAGCCATACGTCTGTCATGCCCACCGGAGGGTACATGCCATACCCGATACATAGCATGTGGCTCATAGCTTTAAAAAGTGCGTAGGAGTACTGTTGTCCCCATGTGTCATTCTGGATGAAACAGAGGAGATGGGAGGAGTTAGGGTGAGCACAGTGGAGCAATCTGACTTGCTCTCTCTCAAGTAAGGGTGTTGATTACACATTAAAAGGTCAAGGAGCAGCCAGACAGCTCACACACACACACACACGCGCACACACACACACACACACACACAAACAAAATTACTTGGGACAAAACTAATGACAACTGCACATTTCAGGCGGGCTTCGTCCAGTGTAAAGAAGCTGGCAGGGTAAAACATGATTTGAATATGCAAACATTAGGAGCAAGCAGACATTTGGGCGGAAGCCTAAAAACAGGAGCTCTTGAGAATGGGCAGAAAGAGCGTGAGGCACTGGAGGCTTGCATGAAAGAAAGTAGGTCAGCTATTTAGAAAAATGTGATTTCTCTGTGAGTTTTCTCATTTGTAGATAAATTGCCCCTTTTTCTTTAGATCCTGGTGGTGGTTCATGGCAAATCAATATCAACTCTCTCCTGAGGGTGACATGGCCAGATTGCTTTCAAACTCATTTCCGCCACAGAAAAGCTGGGGCGGTCGTGGCTCAGCTGGCCGAGTGGTCATCCTCCTACCAGAAGGTCAGCTGCTCGAGCCCCGTATGTGAATGTGTCCTTGAGCAAAAATAGTGAGCCCCACATTAGCCCCAATAAATTAAACAATGTCAGAAAAAGAGCTCTACAGTACCTAATGGGTTAATAAGTAGGTTATTAGTCTTGAGCATTTAACAGCCTGAGACAGACAGCAATTTTTGCACTTCTGATAAGCTGAGCAACAATGACCAAACAGGAAAGCCTGCAAGCTACTGTAAAAAAAATGTGAGAAAAATTCCTTTAATCATTTTAATTTGATTCAAAACAAGTGTTGGTGAGTCTGTCAATACTAACAACCTCTTTGTCGTCCAGGTAATGAGAGCAAAATAGGAGGAGCTTTTCATCAGAGAGCTTCCTGCCCTGGAGGCCCGAGTAAATTCTGAGTGATATATTTGTTATTTTGTCACAGTGAGAACTATTCTTCTACATAATGCAATTAATTAGTCAATGTTTACTGTGTGAAACAAAACAAACTGCCTTTCCTGATGTTAATGAGAGGCTACATCTGTCACATGGAAAATTTTAAGCGACTACATTATATTCCATCACATCTCAGGGCCTCTTCACAGCCCACAACACAAGGGCTTATTGTTTGTTGCCTTATGAGGAAATGACCAGCGGAAAATGAGGAAACATCACTCTGAGTTGCAGCAATGTGACAAAAAGAAGTGAAGACTATAATCTAGTAAGAACTGAAGAAAGCCAACTAGTTAAAAGGCACTTGGCAAGTAAAGCCATATTCCTCTTGGAGATGGAGGTATCAAAACAGTGTTTTTTAGTTAAAAGTACGGTGTTTACAATAGTTAAATTAGACCGTGGCTAACATTTCTTTAGCACTTCTACAAACAGACTGAAGAGAATACAATGGGATAAGATTATAAATTAACTCTGCCAAACAATCTTAACATAGTATGTGTAAAATATAATATTTTTTCATTTAGACATTTTCAAATTAATGTAAAGGTTTTCTGTACATTTTTCCTTGATAAAATAAAAGACAAACAATAATTAAAGGCCGCATTGCAGCTCAATATCGATTTAAAGAAAAACCCTTAAATGTTTGTTTGACAGTATCTCAATTAGAAATTGAACCTTGTGTGTCTCTGTTTGACAGACTGGCATACATTCTGATGAATGAAGAGCTATTTTTTAATGTTCTAAATTCTTCTTGGATGAAAAATATTATATATTCTATCTTAGTCTCTTACTTAGTTACCCATTATACTGTTGACAGTTCAGTTTTGTGACTCAAAACATGAAAAACAAACCTAAAGGCAAAAACATCTTCAGTTCAGTCACCTTAAGTCCTCATTTTTCCTTTGGTTAAACTAAAGGTTTGATCCAGACACTGTCGAATGGCTCCAACTTTGATCTCAAACACTGACACTGTCCCTGGACAGCACCCCCCTGTCTGTGTTTGGATGTCTACACACAGGTAAGGGAATAAAGCTAAAATTAGCTAAAGAGAGAAGCAACATCTCGAGGGACAGTGGCTTGCAACATCAGTCTTTTGTTATGCTGTTAAATAAAAGAGGCAGTGTCAGTGAAACAAGTGAGTCTGTTGGCAAGGCAGTGAGGCATGATGAACCAAGAACATTATACCTTGAAAGATCTAACTACCCATGTGACATCTGTTCTGCTACAGAGCACTTAACTTACAACTGACAAGATTCTAGGCCTTGTATATACATATCTGAAAATGATCTTCCTTGAATGTGGTCTGGTTTGTAGGTCTAATTGCATGTTTACTTCAGATCTGAACTACCGTTAGTCCACTGAAAACATTAATGAGGTCTTTATGAACTGACTCAAATGTTCAAAGAAGCGTAAAGTGAAAACATTGAAGTGTTTCCTTGTGAAAAAAGGATCATTATGAAAATAGATATATTCATTATCTGGACGGCACAGAAACCAATGAGAGCAATACGTTAAGTAAAGGAAAAATGTGTTGTCTTGAAATGTCCGTGAGCAATCTCACTTTGACAAGTTTTTATTCCACTACACAAAGAGCTACACATTGCTCAAATAGATATCGGAATTTATATTGGCAATTCACCTCTTAGTGAATCCTGCTTCTCAGCTTTATTGTTTTAGTTAAATATATGTTGGTTATTGGAATATTATGCTGAAGAGATGAGTTATCATTGGGGTCCAATTGATTTCTACCAGAAAACCTGACAAAAACCTTTGGAGCAAAACATCCCGAGAGTATGCAGTGCTCACATGGGGCCATCCGTTGTTGGTGACTCAGTCTGCTCTGATAAACTAATGAAAGCAAAAATCTGTAATAAATCAGGTTTTAACAAGGCTCTGCTCCAGCAGCTGTTGTAACAATGCAACAAAATTAAAGCTCAGCTTGAGAGCTCACTGGAAACTGTTACATTACATCCAACTAATAATGGACAAGGGCTGCCTTTCCCCAGAAGATCAATGATCCAAGCACTACTTTCTTACACAAAAGGGCAGCTGTCAGGAGCTCCTAATAAAGAAAATCTTCTGTAAATTGAATTAATGCAGACAAATGTAGATAAATATATTTGATTTAGGGTTTAAAAATGACAGATATGCAATGCAATCTTTCCCAGGAAGCTTAAGGTTTTTAGTACAGTAATTACTGATGCTGACGGATGAGATAAGATGGAGAATAATCTGATTTGAGCAGGCAGCACGACTCTATGCAGTAGAAGCACTTACCACCATCTTATTTTTGGATACCCAGCAGTCGGCAGGGAAGTCCTGCAGCATGGGCACCAGGAACTGCAGGCAGCCATCCCAGTGACACAGCAACAGCATCATGCCGATCAGATTGACTATCCGCACCATGGCGCTGGCAAGGTCATAGGTCATGTGGAAGATCTGAAGGGTGGGAGAGGAAAGATAGCAGAAAACGAGTTACAGCGATGACTCAACACACGGACTTTCAAATCCCTGAAATCTCACCCAACTGAAAAAGGCATGCACAGATTTCCCGAGGGAAGATTTTTCTTTCTCCACGAGCAGTACGATGACCTCTTGTACTATTGTTTCTCCCAATCACACTTATAGTTTCTGCTACTTGAAATATACAGTGGTGTACTTGTGCAGAGAAAAACCTTGTTTTATTACTCTGAGATGAGCTGGTGGATGGAGAGCCACTGGGGATGGTTTGCAAACTGGGACTAGGGCTTTCCTTTCCAGTGCTGCTGAATTACTCTTATTAGCCACTCAGCCAAATACAATAATGGTTCGAGTAGAGGTGGCTGAGCTCCTGGGGTGTGTTTGTTCACTGGGTTTGTTAATCCTTATAATAAACATACTCATAAGATGCTGTAGGACTGCTAGGCTGGTGTAGACTTTAATGGCCTTAACCATTCAAAGGCTTTTAATCCCATTGAAGACCACAGTGTGCACTACTAACCACTCTGCTCCTTATTAAAATCCACTCTGCGCCATTAAAAGGCTTGTGGGTGAGAGGGGATATTCCATTTTCACTTTATTGCTTAGCAGTAGGTGATGATGAAGAGGGGAGGTGAAGACATCCTTGTCGCTGCGGTAGATTCTTAGTTCTTGCAACTATATCACTGAGTGTTAATGTTTAGGTTCTTTTGCAGTTTCCTACTGAATGCATTCAAATGTGTATTTTTGTATTTATTCAGAGCCTATGTGAAGCAAGAGGGCTGGCAGGGACCGACGTGGAGCTTGGAAGTGAGGGGCTGTTGCACCATCAAATCACATCAGATTAAGTTCTGTCAACAAGCTAGAATGAAGCCAGAGTTATGCTTCTCAGAATGAATGGACATAGCCTCCCACGCTTTATCTGTCTGTCCACTCACACATATATATGCATATATACACATAAGCCCAGTGTGTGCTTTGTGCCCTTGTACTCATTCATTACATAAGATGGAATCACTCATTCAGCTGAACATTTTCGCACTTAAAACCCCCTAGTTTTCTGCATTTTCTATGCAGCAGCACTTGTAAAATGCTAGCTGTTTTTTTTTTCTTTATTGAATTCAGTGGCCAGCCTTCCTGTAAAAATACGATAAATAAATGATGTTAGCTAATATGAGCTCTGTGATGCTGAAATTCCTGATTGAGCTGTAATGGCATCCCATAACGCTGAAGTGTTAAATTCCCTCTGTGGCAAATAAATAAGTTATAAGGAACCCCACTCCAGCTCGTGTACAAGTCAGATACATTTTGTATTTGGTAAATTATGTTTTTGACAGGAGGAGGGAGCCTAATGAAACACAGGCTGCATTTAAATCTATAAAGCAATGTAAAGGGAAATAAAAAAACCACAACTGCCAAACCCCTCTTACTTGCTGATACTCCTAAAAATGAATATACCACCAAAGTAGCTGCTCATTGGCTTGTTCAGCCCACCCTTGAACAAAAAGAATTTGCATGAGGAATGCAATATAAAATGATTACCATGCTGTCTTCTCTGCAGAATGGTGTGAAATTAAGATACATGAAAACACCATGCACAAAGCAAAAATCTTATTAACACAGATCACAATTAAGGGCCATTTCCTGATAGCAAAGATTCCGACAGTCCAGGATGTGTTTATAATCATATCATCAGGCTATCATAACCTCATCATCTCTTTTTTAACAACTGTAATTTCAACTGCAGTTTCTTAGTTTGACAAGCACTTTGTCCCCTTTACTAAGAACAGTTGATTCATTTAGGATGATCATGTTTGTGGTTGTTGCTGTGACTAAATTACAGATAATTGTAATGTTACATTCCCCTCAAATAAGTTTCTTTAAATTCTTTTCTGTACCCAGCGAGGGTGCCTTCAATTAATCATTTCTTTTTAACAATAACTGCTGCATATTCTATAGCAGCTGTGCCCCCAAAACAGCTCTAGCGCTTAACCAGTGCAGAGAATAAAGAACTGCGACAGGTAATGCCATGCAAATCCACAGTTTGTAGAAGGTGATTCCCCCATCTGTCTTCAAAGCTGTAATCGATTCAAATACTCTCATACAAGACACTTTCTATTTATAAAGATATTTCCGTGTTTGACTGTTTGAGGGAAACGGTCTGTATGGTGTTTTTCTTCCTCCTCTCATCTCTACTGTCTCTTGTAGATTAAAAGAAACTAATGCTTCTCGTTATTATTCTGTGAAATTTAGTCAGCAAACATGTAAAGGTAGTGAATGTGACCGCGACCACACCAACAGTGTGCGGTGCAGGAGCAGACTGCACACACAGCCACGTCCAACACTGTGTTACACGCAGGATGATGGATTACTGACTACTTTCTTTTAATTGATAGGAACACAAAGATAGCCTGGTAGTATTAGCATCAGCATAAACAGGACAGCTTTGATTGATGAGGGCTCAGAGAAACAACTCAACAGATTCTTACCGGGGAGCTTGTCACTCTCACTACACTAATCAGGCTTCTCATTGCATGAGGCTGAGATGCATTTGCTTGCCTTAATTGCTTTTGTATTTCTGTCAATTTTCAATCAAAAACATTGGTCAGGTCACAAAACCAGTGTCCATGTATTGGCTTTGAAGAAAAATAAGCTATTTAAAAAAAAAAACATAAACTGACTCCACCGCAACTTTTACCATGTTTTAGTTACAGTTTTTGAAACATATTACATAAATAATGAGTAGCGCAGATGTCAAAGGATTTGATGGTCAAGTCAAACTAATCAGTATCCTTGTCAGAACCCAGGCTCACACACGCAGAGAGGATGAAGGCAGCTGCCCAGTCATCTCAAACAGATGGAGTGAGGAGAGAGGGATCCAGGTGAGAGAAAAGCTGCATATGTCCTGTGGTGCCGATGGTGGCTGCCCAGACGCAGCCGATGTAGCACTATAGCACGGCATCTGCTGTTTGCGGCCCGGTCTGCTAATGATGATGAATGCTGCCGTGATTTTATCTTGACATACAACAGGAAACAAAAATTCTTATTTGTCTTCTTCCGATGCTGTTTTGCAGGATAAACAGGAAAACGTGTCCACTGCTGGAAACTGGTTTGGCTTTCAATGTCCCTCCCATGAGCTATGACAGTTTACTTCTAAGGTCCAGAGCTTTTAAGGCAATCTAAAAAACAGTTTTTGTTATATTAACCAACCAAGCCACCATCACCAAGCACTCTCCTAAACCCCTTACCACATTGCAGTAACATATTATTATAGTGGGCCTGAAGTGACAAACCAAACCTTGAGCTTTCATTGGATCTTTCTGCAGCAGTTATCAACTGGTTAGGGACCTCGTAGCTGTTTTACCCAGAACTTACTACGGTCAGTGTTTAAGCAAAACATAACTTCCCCTTAACGAGAAATGAAGTTCATCAACTAGATTAACTCATGTGCTGGATGCTTCATTGTTATTTTTAATCATCCAGCGTGAGGGCAGATTTGCGAGGCAGACTTTAGTCAGGGGTCAGATTTCTCCCAGCAAAAGCCTGGACCAAAATGTCATGCTCATGCATGCTGTCATGGCGGACGAAGCGCATGTGAAGAATGAGAAGCAGCTCTGGGAGTGGACCACAGGGAACACCCTTCCATCATCCGCCTAAACAGACCTTGAGGGCTCAGATCACAAAAGCCACTCTGACTCTGCTCTCTGCCACGATGCGCTGTTGGAGTTATGCAGGATTACACATTTGGGTATAAAAGTTTTTCAAGCAATTCCATTGTGGGTTTTCATATCACACATGGCTCATTCAGAGTGTTGAGGACCTGTCACTGTTGCTGGAAAGCCTCATTGTGAATTCAATAATGGCCCATTAAGTCTATTATTCCTGCTTTTCTTATCTCTAAAAGACCAGTCCTTGGCTTAGGTAATGGGTCATTGAGTGGGGAGCTGATTAGTTGATTTAACTCATTTCAATATTTTTGTATGGATTTACTGGGTGGAAAAAAAAGGCGCATTGGTCCAGCTTCGGATGTGTGGTGCAGTTATGTGACAGACTTCTGTCACAGCACTTGATATATTGTTTAGTTTCCTCATAACTTTAGCTAGGGTTAAATGAAGTTAGTGTTAGGCTGTACCATAAATCCAGCAATCTAAGATGTCAGTATTAGAGAGACATTCTGCAATCTTCTTAAAAATAAAACACAAACATAACCCTTCATGTCATCCAAATGCAGCGTTAACTATCTCTTTCTTTGTCTTTTAAAAACTCTAACCCTTAAAGGTGCTATCTATAAATCTATACATATTACAGGCTTTCAATATTCTCTAAGTGTAGCTTATTCATCATCTCACTTTTCCTCACGCACAGGCAGAATTTTGTCTCAGTCATTCTTTTTATTTATTTGTCTTTTTTTAACCTTGTCCTGTTCAGCATTATGGCAGCAAAACTGAAATCTGAGTAGCGTGCTCTAGTGAACACATTTGCTTTGCCAAGTGAGGCTTTGTTGGTGAGAAACCCCCCTTGAATACCAAAAACTGCTTTATTTATTCATTTTTGTTACCAAACTTTACATGTGTCCAACAATGCCAAACCTGACAGAGGGACAGGGAAGAAAAAAAGAGCAAAGAAAAACAAACACGAAAAGGAAAAGATCCTTTAGGCAGAGAGAGAAAGAGAAAAAGAAAGACAACAAAACCATACAACCAGCTACTATATCTGTACAAAATCCATCTGGATTGTTGGCAATCCGGAGGGAGAACCTAAAGGAGTTCCCTGCAAATGGAAACAGGGAAAACAAAAGAACAAAAAAGCGACAAAAGCAACAACGCTCAGTCATTCTACTTTGGATCTTTTAAACTCTCACAGCTTCACCATTTTGACACTAGTTGTTAGTCAGAAGCCATTTTGCATTTTCCTGCTTAACTCGCTCACGTCTTTTGATAATTCATATACGCATTTCCAAAAGGCCTCATATCTTGTCTCAC